GAAAAAAAAAAAAAAGACAGTGGGCAGCGGGCAGAGTCATGTAGTCGCACTGAGAGTGCGCTAGCAGCCTGCGGCCATGCAAGCACGGAAGAGCAGCGTACCTGGGCTGCGATACGGACCCTGGAGACTCGGATCTTGGCCCAGCAACAGAACAAATGGAAAGAGGGCGAGGCATATGACACATTGGGCAGTGGGCAGAGTCATGTAGTAGCACTGACTGTGCGCTAGCAGCCGGCAGTCATGCAAGCAGGGAAGAGCAGCAGGTCATGGCTGCTCGCACGCGCGCTGCCATAGCTGGTCGGCAAGCACCGTGCAGGGGAGAAGTGGACAGGGGTCGAAGTTGGCCCACGAAGGAGAGCGGCAGTGGGCACTGCCAGATGCTTACCTGGCGTGTGGCCGAACAGCACAATGTCATCAGACTCTTCAGCAGCATCTGGCGAGAGGAGAGTGGAGAGAGAGACAGCGTGAGAGGTAGCAGGCTGGTGTTTAGGCTCTTCGACAGCATCTGGCGAGAGGAGAGCGGAGAGAGAGACAACGTGAGAGGGAGCAGGCGAGTGTTTAGGCTTCTACTTTGTTGTTGCATTTTTTCATTGTTGAGGGTCCAACAAGTGGTTCACTTGTCAAGAGACTTCAGCGTTCAGTGTGAGCTTGGGTGATTTGTGTGCTCTCGGCTTTGCCACTCCTCTTTCAATTGCGGAAGTTTTTGTGTGCACTCTTGGCTCTGTCCAAAGACTTCAGTGCTCAGTGTGACCAGTCGTGTTAACTTTATTCATGTGTGGTCTTCAGTGAGCACTTACTGGGAAATCTCCTTTGATGTCTGTGCTCTCGCACGCTGGTTCTTTGCATTTATTTGTGTGTGAAGTGGGGACCACCACAAGGTTAGTTAGCCTTGGCTGTCTACTAGAAGGGGTGATATGAGCAGCCCCCGCTAGTAGCCACCAGCTGCTCCATCTATTCGTGGGGAGCTGCACCTGCTGGAAAACGGGTCCAGCGTCCCTTTTACAATCACAGAAAGTTTATCATCTAGATCATTCTGTTGTGACCGCCAGCATTGATTACCCCTTGCCAGCTTGGTTTATCCCTCAGCACATTTCCTAGTCAATCCACCCACAGTACCGATGCGGGCCTCACTCCACTACTCAACTGTCCACAGGTATCTGGACAATAGCGATTTCGTCAAAACGAACATTTTATATTTTTTGAACGAAATTGAAACCTACTTACTTGGCCCAAAAAATATCACAGTTTATCTCCTAAGAGACCATTTGGACTTAACTGAAGTTTAGGTACATCCAATGGGGACCCTTTTTTTTTTTCTTTTTTTTTTTTTTTTTTTGAAAAATGAGGACCGTAAGGAGCTAAAACGGTGACATTTTTAGGGCCAAATGAGTGGGTTTCAATTTCGTTCAAAAAATATAAAATGTCCGTTTTAACGAAATCGCTGTTTGGAGTCTTTGGACAGCATTGTTGACCATATGCAGTCAGACCCATCCAAAATTTCCAATGGATTGGGACTATTACTCTGCTCTGCTCTCCATACATTTGCCACTTGTGCAGCTCAGCAAAGCCCTATGGGGCTTTGGATCTGTCCAATTTAAATTTGCTGAAAGGTCGACTTTTTTTTTTTTTTTTTTTTTTCCTCCTCCCCTTTCTTCAAGACTTCCACCCAATTCAAGTTCCAGATCCAAGGGAGTTGTTTCTTCAGGCTGTGTAGAGTAAGACCTGCTTAGGCTAGGCTAAGCAGATACCTAGACCCCTTCCCTACTGGCGAAGTAGCCAGTGCTTTCCTATTACCAAGGTCTCTTTCGAGTTAGGCAGGTACTACGGGTCGGTGAGCAATGAGCAGTCACTGTTTTTGTTTTTCGGTTGTTTAAACTTGTTTTGTATTTGTTTTTCGTTCCCCTCCCCTGCTTTGGCCCGGGTGTGCCCGCTTCCGCCTTTTTCCCCCATCCTGGGTAAGAAATGGACTACTGTTGGCCAAGGACTGCTGTGATGGGGATGAGTCAGATGACCACATTGCAAAGGCAACACCCGGCATCTTCCCTTCTTCGGTTTGCAATGTGGTGGTCCCCTACCATTTTGCCAGTCTGTTGACTGCGCATCCCAGTCTCTCATTTTTCTCCCAACACCAGCCCTCAGCTCCTTACAGCTCAAACAAGAAAAGAAAACTCTGCCACGTGACAAAGGTACAACCGTAGAACATGGTGTGTGTGTCAAGTGGGGAC